TCCCCCAGGCACCATGCCAGCCCCATAGTACTACCCACCTCACCCACTGTGGTCTGCTGCACCCCACTGCTGGGGCACTGGTTCCAATGAGGTAGGGCACAACAAACTCCATCTGGTAAGTCCTACCCCTGATCACTGTACCCAATACCCCCCAACAGTCCAATTCTGTACCACATGCTTGAGGAAGAGTGGTATGATCTGGATCATGCCCACTCCTCAGAATGGTCCAGTCCAACTCTGAGCATCCCCTCACAATGTGGTGTTTGAGTGGTTCAGCCTTCCTGGTTTATGGAGCTCCCCTCTGTTGCCTATGAATAGTTCAGTCCTGTACTTCACCAGCCTCTCCACTACCACCAAAAAATCTCCCCCCAGTGCTACAACTCATTTGCTAATTGAATTGAATTAAGCTAGGGTTTGCAAGCTGGAAAGTAGAGTTGAGATACACTGGAGGGATTTTCTTGGGACAGGGAGGGCTTTGTCCCTATAAGAGTTGTTGAACAGACTGGCTTATGGAGGGTGATTGGAAATGGATTTGGAGAGATATTGGAGACCATTGCTACAACAACCTGCTGTTGCCATGGCAGTCTTGGCATTCTCACCTTTCCTTCCAGATCCCTTTCTGTTCTGTTCTCTTCCCCATTGCACTACAGTATTTGCCCCCACCCCTTCCCCATACACACCCTAAGTCTTACTCCTTTGCTGCTTACCTCTGTACTGCCAGTTCTCAGCCTGAGGCCCTGCTTAAACTCCTCCCCCCCACCCCCAGGAGAAAAGATGGTACCTAAGCCAGGGACTTTAGTTCTGAGTGTGCTTTGGTCTTCTCCATTACTCACTGAGTTTTTTTAGTGGGACTGTTTTCTCCTATGTATCTATTTGGCAAGATAGTTGTACATTGGGGTGCCTCAGTGGAATTGTGTTGAATGAATGTGATAATTGAATGAGCTTCATTGCCAAGAAACTGATGGCTTTTGAGATCTGCTGCATAGTCTCCTATCCACATCTCTAGAGGACGTGAGACATTTGGGATGGCAACCTGGGGTAGAGCTGAGGGGCAGGCTGACCCAAGAAGTGACCTGTGAGGATAAAACCAACAGAGGGAGAATAGAACAGATGCATTATAGAAGAGTGGCAAGAATGAGACTCTGGAAAGAAGCCCAGCTCTTCCATTCTCTTGCAGAATCACCTTGACCAACTTACCTAATCTCCCTGAGCCTTAATTTCCTCATCTGTAAAACGGGGGTAATAAAACCTCTTATGTCAGGTTTTGGGGAGGAGTTTTAAAAATGTATAGAAAGTGATTAACACTGTGCCTGGCATGTAATAAGTATTCAGTAAATGCTAGTAATTATCATAACGGGAGCCCCTGGGAGCTGGAGGATAAGCAAGGACGTTGAGGAATAGGACAGAACTTGACTGAAGGCAGATAGACCCCAATCACTGATCCAGGAAGACCTCAGGATTCAGGGGAGTGAGGGGAGGAGTCAGTAGGGTCAGTAGGCTCCAGTGTTTCCCTGACTCTGTTCAGGAACATGTAAAGCAAACACAGAAGGGCATGTGCAGAGACACACGTGATCACGCAAGTGATGCAGAGGCAGACCCAGACAAAAGACCGAGACAGGAGCCAGGCAGACACACAGACAGAAACAGCAGCGCAGAGTCATGTAGACAGGCATAATGACAGGAACGCGTCAGACACAGGCATTGAAGGAGACAAGATAAGCAGATATGCAGGTGCACACGGAGACAGACACCGGGACCCACACACAGCCGACCTTGTCAGACTGGTGAACACAGCGGTCCAGTCAGAGGCAGACACAAGGCTCGCAGTGACACATAGCGGGCCAGGGCCGGCACTGTCACTTCTCGGTGGGGGGCGGGGAGGGGCCAACAGCGGGGGAAAGCTGGGGAAGGGAATCCCGAGCGGGCGACCTGCCCGGGTGGCTGAGTCACAGCAGAGCCCCAGCCGGCAGTCTTCCCCTCCGCCTCCCCCCTCCCCCAGGTAAGAAGCGAGCCTGTAACTCCTCGCTTCCACCCGGCAGAATGAGGCCTGCAGGGAGCGGGGTGCGGCGGGGTTCCGGGACCAGCCCCACCTCCGCGCTCGTGCAGCGGCACTACTGCCTGCCTGCTGGGTAAAACCCTATCTGCGGGGTCTTGTCTTTGGCCAGCATGTGAGTCTGCGTGCGTCCGTCTGGCCCCTTACTCCACGTCCCGCGCGGCTGGAGCGGTGCGTGGAGGGGCTTGTCGGGCTTCAAGCCGGGAGAGAGTTAAGTGGGTGTGATTGATGGAGTGGGTCTCTCTCGGGGCCCAAGGGGGAGGGGGGGGTCTGTTAAAGTCTCCGAGTCCGGAGCCCGGATGGAGGGGGCGGAGCTGGGCTTAGCCGGGAGTGCCCGGATGGGGAGGGCGTGGCTTCGGCGGGAGAAGAATTAACCCTTTCTGAGCAGCTGACTCCGGGGACTGTGGGTTGGGCGGTAGAGGCTGGAATGTCTGCCCCAGAAGTATACCGTCCTCCCAGCCTGACTTTGGCCGTATGTGTATAACACTCATCTGTTTTTGAGGAGTCTGTGGTTGTCTTTGTGCCTGTCCGTGGTTGCCCCCTCCCCTTGGTTAGTACGGACACCAGGAGTCGGAGAGGGCTATTCCTGCCCTAAAGCGAGAGTGGAGGTGAGAGTGGACCGCGAGCCGACTGCCGGCGTCTGGGGAACAGGTGTGAGTGCGGAGTTGGGACTGCTGGGCGCTGGGAGGGGCCGTCGTGCAGTAAGACGAGAGGGGAAATTCCACGGGACCCGTGGTGAGCGAGCGGTGTGTGGGCTGAGTTGTGTCTGCCTCTGACTATGTGTCTGTGTGTGTTCAGGGAGGCGGGGGCTGAGTCAGTGGGAATAGGGGAAGGTTTTCTGAGTGACTCACGCTCCCCCACCCCAAGCCTGAATCAGACCCCGAGGGAGGGCTTTGTACGGGAGGTGGATGGGGAGTCAGGCGCCTGGGTCCCGGGTGAGGAACAGGGATCCACGGTGGTTGGCGAGAGTGAGTGTGTGTTTAGTATACAGGAAGTTTTTGTTCTCAAGTGAGGGCTGCTGTATTCTGAATACCGGCGCGGGGGTGTGTGTGGATAAAGGTGGAGAGGGGCTGGAGAGACGGGGCTCACTGGTTTAGGGAAAGCTGAGTCAGTTCCCCGTGGGAAAGGGGAAGTGGTAGAGGGGAAGTGTCATCATCGCAGAAGGGGAAACTGCATTTCCTGGTAACTGGCAGCGCCCTCGGCACCACTTCCCAAGCGGGTATCTGTGCCTCTGATATTTGGACCCTCCCCGTTTCCCGTTTTCTGGACCCCCGTTCTCCATTTTCCCATGTCTGGGCTATGGGTCCCGGGACTTGGGGTGGGGGAAGCAGCCAGCCAGGGCCATACTTGAGCGCAGTTAAGCGCTGTACTTGTCCCAGAGGTTGGTAATTGACCGAATGGTTGTATGGTGAGGAGAGTGAGTTCTGACAGAATCTCCGCGCGAACTGCGGAGATGGTCCGCAGAGCCCAAGCGCGCCTGCCAGGGCTCGGCGGGGAGTGGCACACTGGGACCTGTAGGGTCCAAGCGCTTGCATGCAAACAGACGACCCTGTACAGCGGACAGAGGACTGTTTTCACCAGAAACCCGCCTGCCCTTGTGGGCTGGGTGGAAATTTCCCCAAAGTGCAGACTTTTCTCGGCGAGGGCGAACTTTCCAGCCGCCCCCAGCCTCTTGTCGCGCGTTCTCCCCCGGCTTCCTGCCCTGCTCAGGCTCCAGCTGGAGCGCTGGCCCCGCCCCCGCCGCTTTGTACTCGACATTCGCCTCTAGCAGCTCTTTGTACTCTAGACTCTCAATGGACCGATCCCGGGAGCGGAGCCGGCTCCCTACCTGAGGGGACGCCGGGTAGGCGAGGAGGAAGCTTTGGGACCGAGATCCTGGGCTCAGAGAGGGGAGAAGGAAGAAATGAGGCTAAAGGGAAGATGCCCAGGAAGGGGAGCGCTGCGCTCGTCTTGGGTCGAGCCAGCATCGACGGGAAGGGTTGGGGGGTGGTGTGTGAAGGAGGAAGTGAAACGGGTTTGGGTTCTTTAAGGGAGTGGGCGGTGAGAGTGGGACAAGGGTGATGTCACCGCCTGTCGGGCCCGCCCTCCCTCCCGGAGGACACCCCCCCCCTCCCGTGCACTTACTTACACACGCCGCTTCCGCTGCGCAAGTAGCCACGTCACGGGCAACCCCCGAAATCCCCCCTCCCTTGGGGGGCGGGGGCCACGTGGGCCGTGGGGAACCGCGTGGCCCCGGCGGGGAAGGGCATAGAGGATACCGGAGCCACGCAAGAAGGGCCACACTGGACCGTGGTGCGCGACTTCTGAGAAGTTGGAGGGTTAAATGGGATTTTGGTTTTGGGGGTCGGTTGGTATTGAAGACCGAGAGAGCCAGGAGACGTGCAGGAGCTGAAGGTACTGGGTATGAGGCTGGGTGCTTGACCATGATTTGGGATGGTCAAGTGTGGGGGATGAAGCGCTCAGCTCGCGGCGCCGTTGGGTTTGAGTGCCGTAGAAGTCGCCCTGACTGGCCAGTCCTAAGCAGTCCCGAGGGGCACTCTGAATGGGGAGGTCAGGCTCTGGGCGAGGTGAAGTGAGGATGGGGAGCGACACCTTTGTCTGCTTTGGGCATCTGTCTGCTGTCCGTCGGTCTTACAGCGGGCAGGGCGGGGGGCATCTAGGTCAGACTAGCGTGGAACACGGGTGGCTTTGTGCGTGCGTGGGGCTTGCGGGGAGCGCCATCCCCCAGGTCGGCCGGGGCGTGCGACTCGCCGCCTTCACCCACATGGGTCACAGGCTCTGTTTGCCCCGCCGGCCCGAGTCTTAGGTCCTAGATGGAGACCCTAAATAGGAGCCGCCGGGTCACGTCGGGGTCATCTGGGGCCGAGCCCGTCTGACCGGCTCCGCCGCCCCTCCTCCCCCGGCCGTCAGCGGGCCGGCTAACTTCACTCCTATTGGTCCTGGGCAGGCTGTTACTGAGGCGGAGACGCGGGTGATGATTGGCTTTCCGGGCAGAGAGGAAGTCCTGTGATTGGCCAGGTCCCTGGAGCTCGCCGACGCTGTGAGAGGAGGCTCCCACGGAGGCCGGGTAAGCCGCGGCGGCATTGCCTGTCGGCTCCGGACTGGCGGTCCCGCTCCCTGCCACTCGTTCAGGCTCCTAGCCACTCTTCTGGGCGTCTAGGGGCTCCTTAAGTCCAGTGGGCCTCCTCTCAGGGAAATCCAAGGCCGGGCGCCCTGCGCAGATGACAGATCTGTGGGTGCCCCAGCCAGACCAGGCTAGTAGTCCCTGGGCCCCAACTGTGCTGGCCAGCTCACCTCACTTTGCCTCTTCCTCTCTATAGAATTGGCTGTGAAAGGCCCTGGGCGGCCATCTGGGGGCAGTGGGTTCATCTGTCAGAGCGGCTGGAGTGGGACCATCACCCCCAGAGAGCTGGGGCAGGGGGCTGTGCCCCATCTCCAGGGCTCCTGGGGCCACTGCTGACCTGGTAAGGGAAAGACTGGGCCTGGGTTGGCTGTGTTTCCACAGGCAGCTCAGGCTCTGCCTCCAGTAAGACCATAATCTCCTCTCCCTGACTCAGGCTGGATGCATCGGGCAGTGGACCCTCCAGGGGCCCGCGCTGCACGGGAAGCCTTTGCCCTTGGGGGCTTGAGCTGTGCTGGGGCCTGGAGCTCCTGCCCGCCCCATCCCCCTCCTCGTAGCGCATGGCTGCCTGGAGGCAGGTGAGAACTTGGGTCATCTCTCTCTCTGTCTCCAGGAACTCATCTTCTCATCTCCTACACCTTTCAATCTGTCATTCTCTGAGATTTTGCCATTCTGTGGGCCTCAGTGTAGTCCTCAGTAGTTTTCTCTTATTCCCTCAGTCCCCTCCTTACTAGATAGGGACAAGACTCTTTTATCTTGATTACATTAACAGACCTCTTCTCTCTTCAGGTGCTCTGCCAGCATCGGGCAGCCCCCACTGTCTGCTCCCCTACCCTCTTCACATGGCAGTAGCTCTGGGCACCCCAACAAACCGTATTATGTTCCAGGGTGAGTGAGGATTCAAAGGTGCTGGGGATGGGAGATAAGGCTGGGGTCTTGAAAGAGTTCTCCCAAGTCTGACCACCCTCCCTCTCCAACCCCTTTTGTTCTGCAGAACACCCACCCCAAGACCTCTCCATGGGAAGCTGGAATCCCTGCATGGCTGTGTGCAGGCATTGCTCCGGGAGCCAGCCCAGCCAGGGCTGTGGGAACAGCTTGGGCAGCTATACGAGTCAGAGCATGACAGTGAGGAGGCCATACGCTGCTACCATAGTGCTCTTCGATATGGAGGAAGTTTGGCTGAGCTGGGGCCTCGCATCGGCCGACTACAGCAGGTGGGATGAGGCAGGCCATAAGAAGATAGGATTGTGCCTTCTGGCTCAGTGCCCTGATCTTATGTCTGCTTCTGTCCTGTTCCCTGCATCCTTCCTCCATCTCCCCAGGCCCAGCTCTGGAACTTTCATGCTGGTTCTTGCCAGCACCGAGCCAAGGTCCTGCCCCCATTGGAGCAAGTATGGAACTTGCTGCACCTTGAGGTGAGTCTGGGGTTGGGTGAGGTAGGGAGGAGGGCTGGACCAAGTGTACACCTGTGCCATTCTCTCTCCTCTTTTTTGTCCTCAGCACAAGCGGAACTACGGGGCCAAGCGGGGGGGCCCCCCAGTGAAGCGAGCCGCTGAACCCCCAGTAGTGCAGCCTGTGCCTCCTGCAGCACTCTCAGGCCCCTCAGGGGAGGAGACCCTCAGCCCTGGAGGCAAGCGCAGAAGAGGTTGCAACTCTGAGCAGGTAGAGTTGTATGTGGGCAGGCAGGCAGTGAGTGGGAGGATTAGGGCAAGGAATGGGATTCTCACACCCTCTTTTCTTGTAGACTGGCCTTCTCCCAGGGCTGCCGCTGCCTCCACCACCATTACCACCACCACCACCACCACCACC